ACAGTCAATCATACTTTGGAAGTAGGTATTGAGGCAAGACTGTCATGAATGGGTCTGTAGTCTGTCTAGGTGGCTAGACTTAGCTGCAGTATTCATGAGTGCTCCTGGAATAATATTCGAGTATTGGATTAAACCCACACTCATTTGAATCACTTCATGGATTTTATCACGAGTGAATCATGAGACGATAATATCTTATATCTTCAAACTAGAGATATGAGTTGTTGACTATGAGTTGATTATACATTGATTGTCGAAAACGATCGTAACTTGATGTTATAAAAACGTGTCTTTGTATGATTCAACAAGTAGTTAGTACAAGCATATGAGTCGAAGTTTATCCATTCTTTTACCTATAGGATAAAAGCGATATTTGTGGCCCCTCGATGGTTTAGTGATGACACCCCTAAGTGCTTGCCAAGTGGACTGATTTAATTTGTTCAATTAGTAGTTGTCATAAATCGAAAATTGGGAAAACAAAAATGGATGGAGAATGATTATAATCCATGTCTCAGTCCATATGATATCTAGAATGGAGGAATATATGATCACTTATCTAATGGACGCGTCATTGATTTGTTCAGAGTTCGACAGCGGCTTTAAGAGCTACGATTGCTAGTCGAGTTATGAATTCGTACTTGCAATAATAGTTTTAGACTTATCCAAGTGGGAGACTGTTGGATTAGATGTCTAAGCCCATAACTATTATTGGTATGTACTTGACCCGAGCGTAGCATGGTCCATTTGGGTTGCATATCATCAGGACAATTTGTTAGGATGGACTCTTGAGAGAAGGTTATATATGATTTATAAATATATTATAAGTACTAATATATTAATATGAAATCATATGGTTTTAATTAGTATTGATCAAGAATTAATTTAGAATTGATTTAGTGATCAAAAAAAGAGATTAATTAAATCTATGGGGACTAATTATTTTAATTAGTTGTATTTATGTGTGTTGGGCTTATGATCCATGTTGGACCAAGTTTATGTATGGATACATAAAGAGTTGGGCCACATGAACCATGGATCATAAGACCCATGGGTATGGATTTGGGTTATATCCATGACCCTAGAAATCCCACATATAAATACATACTTCATTGCCCAAAATCGACACAAGTGTATTCTTGGAGTTCATGGTGGTTTTGGGTGCATGAAGATTCTCTCTCAAGTTCCTCCTTTGTCTATGATGTGTTGTGATTCCACTTGAGGCTTCCACACTATTAGGGCTAAGCTCTTAAGGCTAGATACATCAAGACTTCAATCTCCACCATAAGGTATGTTATCTTAACTAGATTCTTGTGTGGTATATGATAATTGTATGCTAGTTATAGGTTTAATACCTTGGAAACACCATTGGATGTATAATTAGTGAAAACATAGATCCAAGGTATTTAGGGTTGCATGAACACCTTAGGAGTGTTAGAATGCTCAAAACCCAACATCAACTCCCCTCAAACTCCTACACATAAAATTTCCTTTAATTACCCTTTCATACTCATAACCCCCTTAAGGGTCAACTCTGGTCAAAGTCCAAGTCAAAGTCAACCTTCTGGGTTAACTCAACTCGCTGAGTTGGTCCATCAACGCGTCGAGTTCCATAAATCATAAACCCTGAAATTGCGACCCAACTCGTCGAGTTCTTTCATGAACTCGTCGAGTTCCTCCCTATAATAGAGTCGGGACTTTTCAACACAACTCGTCGAGTTCCTCCTTGAACTCGTCGAGTTCTTCAGTCTTCAAAACCCAAAAACCATGGCCAACTCGCTGAGTAATCTCCTAGACTCGCCGATTTTGCTTAATAACAGAAAAGGTCGGGGGACCACGATCCAACTCGCCGAGTTGGATGAACAACTCGCCGAGTTATCTTAGTCTAAATCCATTCAGTCACTTCCAATCGAGTTCAATGCTTCCAAACCATAGATCTGGTCTCTTAGGGCTGATATATCACGTAAAGTTCCTATCTTTACTTGCATGCATGGACTAGTTTGGCTCAAAAAGCTAAAAGGATGGTTCATAAGTTGCATGGGACCTTCATGACCATAAATTTGGCACTTTTATGCCATGAAGTCCCCTAAAGACCCTAGATCTGAAGTATTTTCCCCACATTGGACGTCCAAGTCCCAAAGACTAGCATTCTTAGACCAAAACATGGTGAAATCACTCTAAAACTAGATCTAAACATTGAATAGACAAGATAGGAGCTTTATACCTCCAATGAACCAGAAATGGAGCTCAACTTCTGGATCTACTCTTCTCCTTCACGTCCTTGCTCCTTCTTCAAGAGTCCTCTTCTTCAATTTCACAAAGAATGCACAAAAATGGCTCAAAACACTCAAATATGGATTAGGGTTTCGTGGCTAGGGTTTGGGATGATGGAGGTTGTAAATGAGGCTAGCCTTTGGACGTTAAGGTGTTTAAATAGGGTGCTAAACCCTGCAAATTAGGGTTTCATTCTGGCAGCCCTACTCGTCGAGTTGAGGCTCTCGACTCGACGAGTAGGCTTTAAATCCCACATCCAAATTCCATTCCTGCTCAACGAGTTTGGAGCCTCCAACTCGTCGAGTTCCTGTACAAAAATGAATAACTTGATTTAAAATACATACCAGGAACTGGGCGTTACAAATCATTTCTTCCAAATTAGATCTGCATATATAATAATGTATTGTTATCTTAAATATTATATTCGCAGTTTAATAAACCTATTAATTCACTAATTTAGAGTTTTGTGCAATAATTATACAAATTAATACATTTTTATATATTTATGCTAGAAAAAATACTAACAAAAAAATTAACACAAACATTCATATTTTAATACAAAATTCATTAAAAATCACAGCTTATACAACCGGTTCATAGCGTAATACATTCAATTCACAGTTTAATATACAAATTCACAGTTTAATAAAATGCATAATAATGTATTGTCAGCTTAAATACTATATTGACAGTTTAATAAACATATTAAGTCATTAATTTTGAGTTTTATGCAACAATTATAAAAATTAATACATTCTTACATATTTATGCCACAAAAACATGCCAACAAGAAAACTAATACAAACATTCATATTTTAATACAAAATTCATAAAAAAAACACAGCTTAATACAACCAATTCACAGTGTAATACATTCAATTTACAGTTGAATACACAAATTCACAGTTGAATAAAATGCATAATAATCCATTGTCAGCTTAAATACTATATTGGCAGTTTAGTAAACATATTAATTCACTAATTTTGAGTTTTATGCAACAATTATAAAAATTAATATATTCTTACATATTTATGCCACAAAAACATGCCAACAAGAAAATTAATACAAACATAGCTAAAACTTATAAAAGATCATGCATTCACAACTTAATACTTATAAAAAAAATCATGCATTCACAACTTACTAACATTAGATTCAGAACTTAATATTTTATACAAATATTATAACAAATAAGTAAATAGACTTGGATTCATAACTTAATAACAATGGATTTACAACTTAATAATAATGAATTCACAACTTAATAGTTGTTAAAACAAATATTAACAATAGTAAACAATAGAAGAGGAATTAAAACATCAAATTCATAGTTTAACATAAGAAAAAACAATAAAATAAAAAATCGAAATACCTGATGCAAATATGGTGTTGTTTCACTAAAGATCAGAGAGAAAAAATGGAGGTGCTTCACCGGAGCGGCAAGGCAGTAGCTGTGGTGGCAGTTGACATCGATCTCATATCTAGTCCGTCAATCTCGTCGGAGCTCGTAGATTTGGAGGCATAAATCATAGATCTGTAAGCAAAAATCATAGATCTCCCGTCGGAGATCATAGATCTAATGTCGGAGATCGTAGATCTGGACTGAACCACTTCAGATCTGATGAAAACAAAAGATTTTGGAGGTTGACGACATACATCGACGGTTGGGAGAGGAAGTGGTGGACCAGATTTGAACAGATCCGGTGGTCTTTCATGGAGATCGAGATAAAAAAAGATGGGGGCGAGATGAAGATGTGTCATTGGAGCTCACAGATCTGAACATCAGTGGTGGCGAAAATCGTAGATCTCGTCGTTCGTCGAAGCTAGTAAATCTAGCATAGCAGGTGAAAGGAGGAGGAACTGATGGAGTAGATCTGATGTGGTGGTGGAACCATCGTTAGACATCGGAAAAAGAACCACAAAGTCCAGGTCTAGATTTGAAATGCATCAACCACACCAGATCTGGTGGTGTTTCACCAAAAAAACGAAGAAAAAAATATGGTGTCAGACTATGATGGTGACGATGGCGGGAAGTGGTGTCGGTCAACGTCGGCATGGCGGCGCTGGTAAGTGGCGACAATGGTGGTAGTTGATGATGATAGATGGAGGGTTTGTTTTTGAGCTTTTGAAGGTGAGTGAGAGTGTTTGGATGCAAGAAAAATTACCTAGATTTTATTTTGTAGTTTAAGTTTTCATTTTGATGTTAACTTAAAAATTAGAGGTTTTTAGGGTTTCTTAACCTTTAGGGATTCTTATTTGATTATGATTATATATATATATATAATATATATTATATATATATATATATATATATATATATATATATATATATATATATATATATCTTCAAGTCCAATATGTTCGAAGGTTTTATTTCTAGAAGCTTATGGAAATGTTTACAAGTACTTTTAAAATTCTATATTCAATGCCAAAGCTCATAAATTTCCATGTTTTTGTCTTCCTTTTAACGGTCTATATTTGTTTTCCACATGTGGATCCATCTCTTGACTAACTTTATATATTTTTCCCAATCAAATTATCAAACTTTGACTTTGAATAATTGATACCACAACTGTCAAACCTACACCATACGCCACGCAGAAACTTGCATATAATAGCATATGTCCGGTTAGAGGTTTAAGTTATATCACATCGCCAAATCAAAAGAAGCAAATCTTTAGAAGAACACTAGCTTTCACACATGGCATACACAAAACTATTTTGCTTCATGTTGGTTGCGGTTCTTCTAGCTTCTGTTTCAGAGGCCAGAAAACGAAACACAACTCATATTCAATTTTACATGCATGATACTCCTACTGGCCCGAACCCCTCTGCAGTGCGTGTTGCAGGCCAACCGATCAACGCCACAGACTCCAACATGGGTGCCATGTTCGGGTTCGGGTCCATCTATATCATGGACAACGCACTCACTGCTACACCTGATATCAACTCCACCCTTATTGGTCGAGCCCAAGGGCTCTATGCCATGTCTTCCCAGGAAAACGAGGTAAGCCTCCTCATGACCCTCACCTACAACTTCGTCTCTGGGGTCTACAATGGTAGCTCTGTCAGTGTGGTTGGTCGGAACCCTATCATGGATGAAGTCAGAGAGATGCCGGTGGTGGGAGGAACTGGTGTTTTCCGTCTAGCTCGAGGTTTTGCCATTGCTAAGACACATTCGATGAATCAAGTTGATGCCATTGTCGGATACAATGTCACCATAATACCTTTCTATTAAAAAGTATCTAGAGTTGAGTTCAATACTTGATACATTTTTACTTCAATTTTGGAATATCTACGGTGGTTTGATCATGTATGTCTGCCTCGTTATTGTACTCAATAATTTACATCATAACGGATCATTTTTTATTTTTAATACCAGCATTTTTTGGACTTTCGGTTGTACTTTTCATCTTTTCTACATCTTTTAAATGAAATGACTTTTTATTTTTAATACGAACACTTTATGCTGATGGAACATTGGAATGTGTACGAATTTTGATTTATATAGATATCCAAAAAAATTGTCATCTAATTTTTTTACATTTTATAATTATAAATATTTTATTTGAATTTATAATATTAGAATATTTTTGTAGTTAAACTACCCGTGTACCCTTGGAAATGAAATGACTTTAGTGTAAGTTCTCCAGAAAAAAAAAATATAAATATATAGTATAATTTTTGGTGTTATGATTGGAACAGTAAGTTGATGAACGGTGTAGGTTATTCCAAATTTTTATAGCTGATTAACAAACAACGTCTTAGACGTAGAGCCTGGGTCTGTAAATTATAAGCCCATTCTCCCTGGGCATTAACGGCCCACAACATCTTTCTAAAAGATTCATTTAATCAATGCAACATTCGAAATTAAAAATATCATGAGAATAGATCTCGACTCTCGAGCAAGCTTTTTATAATTTATTAAAAAAATATTTAAATTTAAAAACCTAATAAATCTTATAATTGTTTCAATTTGTTAATTTATATGGTGTTATAACACCAAGTGTGAAAATGGACATATCAAATAATATGTTATAACATTCTTTATTTTCTATTTTTTTTTTAATATTTTACGATTTTAAATTTCTATTTTTCCAATTGTTCTTTTTATTTATTTATGTCATAATATTTATAAAAACATATAAACTAACAACACATATAATTTAATTAAATCCTAAATTAAAAATAGCATTTAATAAAAACGACATTACAAAAACACACACACACACACACACACATTGAACGGAAAAAATACAATAGTCCTAAATTTAAAAAACATAAAAACGATACACTAGTCATCGCCCAAATGTTTTTTCTCGATCTTTTCCTTCATCTTTCAGAGCACTTCATTTGTCTCAGTGTCATATTTTCTTCGTTTGTCTGAAGAATTGTCAAATCCTTCGTCATTCTATATTCTTCCACTTGCTGACGAAAGAACTCCAAATGCTCACGTTGTAATTCATATTTTTTTAATTGCGATTGCGTTGTGGGTGTCAATTTTCTCTTTCATTTCCGTGTGCTCTCGAAGCCTATTTTCACTTTCCTCCGCATGTCGTTAAGCGCTTCGCTTTGTCGCACCCTATCGGTCGTCATGGCGGGGAGATCTCTTGGATGTCGTCTGGGAACTCATCAGTGTCGGTCTTGAGGTCGATGTTCGTTCGTGCGTCGAAAACGTCAACCAAACCCGAACCACAAGACCTCTTTGATTGTACCTCTGATGATGTTGGCGTCTTAAGTCATTTTGGGTCATTTCTCAAAATCTCCCAAATTTTGTCATACTAAAAAAAAGGTGACCCGTTTTGACATGATATTGCTCCATCGCGGCTCCAAACACATCGAAATCATTCGCACCACTTTGCTTATACGAAGAAAGTTTGTTGTAGATCGAATTAAACTTGGTGCACTTCTTATTAAGTGTAGTCCACTTGCTACTAAGCATATCGTGATTGTGTATGCCTCCCCTTTGTTCAAAATTATGCGAAATTTTACGATTGCAGCTTCCAAAAATCCACATCTCCTTATATTGTTTCTCATAGTTGGATGTTTTGATGTCCTGCACCATGCCACCACCAACGCGTGCTCCTCCTTCGGTGTCCACCATGTTGGAGGTTCTTCGTCATTTTCCGTGACCGCAACCACAACCGCTTTCCCTTACTTTTTCCCTCTCCCTCTAGGTTTCCGACTACCTCCCACTTACGTCTCGACAATCGTATTTTGCATTTCTTGTGTGGGTGGTGGTTGTGTGGTTGTTTGTGTCATGAAAGCAAAGGTGTTGAAAAGGTTTTGTTGAAGGTTTGGATTTTGTTACATATAGGGTGAGGCGGGATTGAAAAAGTTGTCGAAAAATGGTAGTTGTGGTGAGCTTTGCGAGTTGAGGAAGTTCACGTAGCCTTCGTATTGCGCAAAACCAAGCAGAATGGATGTGTTTGTGTTTAGATTAGGAGTGTTCGGGTTTTGATCCATAAGATGAGAGAAATATAGATTTTGTGTAGGTAAAAAATGAAATAAATATGTGTATTTATATGTGAGTTAAATTGATTTTTTTACTATTGACCATTGATCAACGGTCTTTTTTTTAACGTTACCCCAAAAATAAAAGCCCAATTCACCATTTCCTCCCATTGCCAAGAAAACGTGTTGCAACATAGCACACGAAAACACCTATGCGAGGTGGTGTTTCGCGCCTTATAACGTCGTTATGGTTTGCCACCTCAGAAAAACACCGGTGGGCGTTGCCCACACCGGACAGTCTAAGTTGTTAATCTGGTATGATCTAATTGAAGAATGTGGTGAGGATAATGTGGCACCGCAATGTCTGTGATGAATAACGCTATAACACTTAAATACATTACATCTTCAAGGCCCTTCGGTGGAAAAGAATCGCAACCACCCACTTTTTTAGCCGTTAAACATTGAAAAAATATAGATTTTTAAAATTTTGTTTTAAATCCTAAAAATACAAACTTTACTATATAAATTTTTTATTGTAGCCCAATACCCACAATCATCTCATATAAGTGTAGTATGTCGATGATGTCGTGTATGCTAAAAAACAATTTCAAGTGCAGTTCAAATGAGAAAACAATTATTTCGTTGCATATGTATGTATGTATGTATGTATGTATGTATGTATGTATGTATGTATATATATATATATATATATATATATATATATATATATATATATAACTAAGATCTTGTAACTAACAAATAGTATGTTATTGTGTAACCTGTAACATCACGATTTCTAGGTATTTTTTCATTTATGCCATTGATAAGAGAATTGTTTGCATTTTGGTCCCAAATGGCATTTTTGTAAATTGTGGGACTGCATGTGTAAGTTGGGCGTACGTTGCGTACACTAAGTGTACGTGGCCAGGGTGCAAACCCTAATTTTTAGGGTTTGGACCCTATTTAAACCTCATTATAGCCTTAAAACCATTTTATTCATCAGCCTCCAACCTCCAACTCGACCCTAGCTAACCCTAATCTCATTAGTGAAGCAATCTTGACCTTGAGTGTGCATTTTGGTGTTCTTGAAGGAGGAAGAAGGAAGAGGAAACCATCTTAGAAAATTGGAGCACCTTAGATACAGAATCACATCACCATTTAACACCATTTTGAGGTAAAAATCTTTGATCTTGATGAAGTTTTACTTAGTCTTGTTTAGCCATGGATTTGTGTTCTTTTTGGTCTCATAAGCTTGGTATTATGAGTATGGGTTACTCTAATTCGTATGAGTTGTCCTCTAAGACGTTTTGGATTGTTTAGAAGCATAAAAATGTAATCTTGGACCTTAGTTTCCTTCCATGCATGAACTAGGATGTCTTAATGAGTTACGAAGTTAGGGTTTTTGGTATTGAGCACTTAATAGCCATGCAAGACCATCAAGTTGGAAATGTTATGGTTAAGGACGTCATTTGAGGGCTAGATCTGGATTTTTGGATGAAAGTGCTTAATGGAATAAGCACTTATTAGTGAAGATGGTTGGCTGACGTGTACGTTGGGCGTACCAAAGGGTACGCTATGCGCACGCGATCAACAACCCGCATTTTGGTCAAGTTGTTAGTACGCCCCGCGTACAAGCTAATTACGCCCAACATACTCAGCTGAATCGACTCAGTGATTCCTTTGACTTTTGAAATTGACCAGGATTTGACCTAGTTTGACCTATGGGTATTTTGGGTATATTGAGTTTTAGTTGAGATTTGTCACTATTTGTTGTATAGGTGACTGGTAGAGCTGATATTCGGAGTAGTGACCTATTCAGCTATCTGTTTAGACCGAGAGGTGAGTTTTGCTCACTGTACTTGTGGGAAGAAGACACCAATGTCGCCCCACTGGGTTATGTATCCTGGTTTAGAGGATGTTGCTATGATGTATTGATTTGTTAGTACCGAGTCCTGGTATATAGGATGTTGTTATGCGATAGTGATTTGTATATCTGCTTGTTAGTCTGTTGACTAGTTATATGATTATATGTTATCTATTGACCCAATATGTATGTTGTTATATGTTGTGTGGTGGTACTTGGGGGGAACTCACTAAGCTTTGGTTTACAGTTTCAGTTTTCTGTTTCAGGTACTTCAGATGACCATGAGAAAGCGAAGGCGTGATCGTGCACATCCTCTTGGTTTTGATGATATTGATTTGGGACACTCTGATATATGATTTCTATGTTTGAGAACAATGTTTTGTAAACGATTGGCTTAATTTGGGATTTTGTTTGAAAACAATGATATCACTTGATTTAAAAATGAAATATTTTTACCTAGATTTTTGGGATGTTACAAGTTGGTATCAGAGCCATGGTTTGAGAGAATTGGATGAACATTCATGTGGATCCAGACTCAAACTAAGGATATGTAAAAGTTTTCAAAATGGTTTTCAAATTTTTTTTCAAAAGTAACCAAAGAAGGACGAGATGTATACAATCATTCGGAGCAAGCAAGTATACCCCAAGTTACCACACTATTATTTGTTATTGATGATTATGATAGAATAGCATGCTGGTGATAGGCTAGGGATCTTCATGGACTGCATAATAGAATTGCTAATGTATGATGCTTGATAGCCTGGGAGGACTTTTGATATATTATATGAAATTGAAATCATTACTATAGTTGCTTAGTGTGTGCATCATAGTTGTACATAACTAAGATTCTATAACCTAAGAATGTTTGGTTTAGCCTTATTTCCTATTCTTGTCTTATAAAGGGATTAGGGTAGAATCAA